AGGGAACTCGCCTTTCTAACCGCGGGCCCGTTAGGACCCGACCCCGACCCCGACCCGGGACGGGGCCGCCTCCCCGCGCCGAGGGCACCGGCAGGAGAGCCCGAGGCCGGCCCTCGGGGGCCGGTGCCCGTTTCTCCATCGTCCCGCAGACGGACGCGACCACCCTGCGCCCTGGTTGCGCAGCGGGTCCCGGGGCGCTTGCCCCCCGCGGAGGAGGCAGCCTTGGCGCACGCCCTCCACCCAAAATAGCCACCGGACGTAGGGTCTCCCCTGAATTTCCTGCCGCGCGGATGTTGGGGGGCAGCGCGTGGCTCGCAGGTGTCAGGACAGGCCCCCGCGTCCGCGGGATCCCCTCCGCGCCTGTCGCCTGAGTTCGCCCTGGGTGCCCGCTGCTTTCACTGCTCTGGACTCGGCAGGCTCGTGTGTGGCTTTGGAGAGAGACCCCTCCAGGGAGCTTAGGGGGCCCCAGTAATACAGCAAGAAGCCTGTTACTCTTAAGCGAGCCGTGGTTTGAGGTACAGCGTTCACTTGGCGGCCTGCAAGTGGCACTTTGTAACCGTCCCTCCCTCCTTCCAGCTCAGTGAGGACCCAGCTGGCTGGGCCTGGCCGGAGGGACACCCAGGGAACATGCATAAGTCAGAAGAGGGCCTTCCGTCCAGGGCTTTGGTCGGTGTGCCGTTGACCCCTGGACAGCCAGGACCTCAGGGGCTGGAACGGGCCTCACGTGAGAGGGAGGGGTGCACTGGGAGGTGTCCAGGTGGGAGAAGCGGGGGACCGCCGGCTGCTTCCCAGCCGAGGAGTCTCCGGAGGAAAGGCCGGCCCTGCCCTACATTCGGGGTCTCTGTGTCCGCGCGGCTCTGTTCTGTTCTGTTCTGCGTGCTGCAGGCCTGGGGTGGAGGCGCCCACAGGGATGTCCAGTTGGTGCTTAAGTGCTCCGTGGGGTTGTCCGTAGAGAAGCTGATCAGAAAAACACCAACTTGAAGTTACCCTTGGGCCTGGGTCTGCGGCTGGGGAAGGGGAGGCCGCCTTGAGCTGGGCCAGGTAGCGGGTTGAAATGAGGCCAGCAAGGCAGGCCCAGGGGAGAGCTGGCAAGCAACACCCCGGCCCCCCCTTGGCTGTCAGCCTTCCCCCTACACGGTCTGAATCTCACCCGCTCCCGCTTTCAGCTTGTTTACTGTATGGGGTGGAATCGGGGTGGCTGGAGTGCAGGGCTGGGCGGCAGCCCCAGTGGGGTCCCTGACGCCGGCCTTCTGCCGCAGGTCTGATTGAGTGACCCTCACGTTTGGGAACCCTTGCTGCCCGCCCTGCCGCCTGTGGTCTTTTGTGTTAAGACCAGTGGACTGTCCATCCTGGAGGGCAGGGAAGCCCATCACCCCCACGGTGCTGGGCTCGGGGCTTGTGTACAGAAGGCCCTCAAAAGAGACTCGACTCGAATAGAAGGATCACCTCCCGCACTGAAGGTGCGCCGTGGGGGGCGTGCTCCACAGCCGCGCTCGGTCACCCGGGACTGGAGTGCAGGCCGCCCAGGCCCGCGGTCCTCCAGCCTGGCTGTGTCACTGTTTACAAAACTCTTGTCTCAGTAGGCTCACCGCCCCCCGCCCCGCCCACGTTTTTAAAATTGTTGCTCTTGTCAGGTTTGGTGTCAGGAACTGCTAGTTTTATTAAGAGACACTTTCTGTATTTTTCTGTGCTCTGCAAGTTTCTGGAGCACGGGAACGATTTATTCTCGAGGGGGAGGGGTTGCTGCCGATGGCGCCTCCTTTTGGTCGGCGTGGAAGGCTCCCCGGAGCTGAGAGGAGCCCCTCTCTTCAGTGCAGGTCCTAATCTGAAGGAGTGGCTGAGGGAGCAGTTCTGTGACCACCCGCTGGAGCACTGCGAGGACACCAGGCTCCATGACGCTGCCTACGTGGGGGACCTCCAGACCCTCCGGAGCCTGCTGCAGGAGGAGAGCTACCGCAGGTGGGCCTGCGGGAGCGGGGCTCGCAGCCCGGGGGGGAGCGCGGTCTGGCTCGCAGGGGAAGAGCCTGATGCTGTCCCGTTTAAGAGGTCAGGGAAGAAGGCGCGGGGCCAGCACGGTCAGACTCCTGTGGAGGTGGCCAGATACTGAGGGCAGGGAGGCCTGAGTTCAAGTCCAGCTCTGTCCTTTGACCTTTACGTTTTCTGGCAACTCCTGGCCTCTGGGTGCCAGCTTCCTTGGTGCTCCTCCCGAGGCAGCACTGCCCCTTTGACGGTCTCTGTGGCTCTTTGTGCCAAGCCGTGTACAAGAACTTGCCTCCCTTGTGTATTGTCTCCCTGTTATGCCCGGGGTCCAGCCCTCCCGATGGACCACGCGTGGCATCATTCCTGGTGTGCTCCTCCCTGGCTTCCCAGGTCCTCAGTCATCTGCCTCCAGGGCCTGGGGCAGCTGACTCATCCCCGGGCATGGGCTGGTGCTGTTTATCATTCGAGTGTTGATAGTGCCCTGCCTGTTGCCCCTCAGAGCCTCCAGTCCCTCCGAAGCGGCCCTCCCCTCCCAGCGGCGGAGTCTTGCTGCCACCACCCCCCCCCCACCTGGGACGCCGGGGAGCTCAGCCCTTCTCTCTGGGCTGTTCTGTGGCTGCTGTGTGCCGAAGACCGAGTCCCAGCTGGATTCGAAACTCCGCAGCCTGAACTCCACGTGGCGCTTTTTCCGTGTGTCCGTTTCCCGGTCAGGGCTGGGGTGGCAGTGAGTTGAGAGAGGAGATGCCGGCGTGTGGATACGGTACCTACTGCCACCTTTGTGGGTAGTTCTCCAAAGAGGGTTTCTGCCTGGCCGGTGGCGCGGTTGGTTGGAGCTTTGTCTATCTACCGAAAGTCCGTGATTTCCATTCATTCCCGGTCAGGGTGCCTGCGGGAGGCAACCAGTCGAAGTTTCTGTCTCTTTCCCCCTGTTACTCTCGCTAAAGTCAATGAAAATGTCTCCTTGGGTGAGAGTTAGACGGGTTTCTAACGCTACAGAAATAGGTCTCCTTCTGCTCTTCCGCGTAACGTCTTAGCTCTACGTCCTCCCAGCAGACGCCAGTATTGAAAAAGGCTCTAAATGTCCAGGGGATCGTCACAGACGGCAGGGGCGTTACACGCAGATACTCACTGTCAGTGACTCAGCCCAAAGCAAACCTTAAATTTGCTGATTTGCCAGTAGAATAAAAATGCAGAATACAGCAGAGTCCAGCCGGGTCTTAGACCAGGGTTTTTCTGTTGTTTTTCCAAGTGCCAATTCCTTCTTTCTATACCCGGGCACAGGGACTCTCCTGTTTGTTGACGATATTCTTGTTGCTATGATGATATTTTGGTTGCTTTGTGTTTCTTTGGTGATGAGGCCTTGGACGTTCCTGGCCCCTTGGACATTCCTGGGCCCCGTGGCCAGTGGCAGCTAATTCCCAGCTGAGGGAGGAGCCAGCGCGCGTTTCTGGGTCACTGCTCCCATGGGCTGGACCCCGAGCTGTGCTCGCTGCTTCGGGAACTTGAGGTGCACTGGGCCTCGGCTGGGGACTTGGAGGGCCTGTGGGCCGCCTGCCGTGGCATCCTGGACAGGGAGCCCTGGTCTGATGGTCACTTCCGAGGAGAGCTGTCTGCACAGGCTCCCTCCGCGGCTGCTGAGCAGGCCCCACTGGCCTTGGGGCCCCTGCAAGCTGGTGTTTGCTGTGTCAGATCCGAGGGAGCACAGTGGCCACCTGGTCCCAGGGAGGATACCGGGGCCCAGGGTGTGGTCAGCTTTAGGCCTGCACTGGAGAGGGGCCTGGAGGCCTGGCCCGGACCCAGGGAATGCTGTCCTCGGTGCTGCCGTCTCCAGGGCAGACCCTCCCCTCGGAGCAGCCGATGTTCCCCGGTGCTCATCCGTGTGCCTGGGCCTTGGCTTTCTTCTGTAGAATGGGCTCCTCGTTGCCATCCTGCCAGGGGCCCGGGCCCAGCAGGGGAACGTGAGAGGCAGTCGTACAGCGGGCCCCGGGCAGCGCCGGGGAAGCACCGGCTGCCTGTTCCAGCAGCTGCCCTCCTGCTTGCCCCCCACTCCGCTTCCCAGCCTCGGCGTGAGGGGAGGCGGGGCGGCTTGTCAGCCCCCCTCACTGCCTGGCCCCTGTGCTCTCTCTCAGCCGCATCAACGAGAAGTCGGTCTGGTGCTGTGGCTGGCTCCCCTGCACCCCGCTGCGCATCGCGGCCACCGCCGGCCACGGGAACTGCGTGGACTTCCTCATCAGGAAGGGGGCCGAGGTGGACCTGGTGGACGTGAAGGGGCAGACGGCCCTGTACGTGGCCGTGGTGAACGGGCACCTGGAGAGCGCCCAGATCCTCCTGGAGGCCGGGGCTGACCCCAACGGAAGCCGGCACCACCGCAGCACCCCTGTCTACCACGCCTCGCGGGTGGGCAGGGCCGACATCCTGAAGGCCCTCATCAGGTCAGTCCCGCCGGCCGGCGCCAGGCCCCTGAGGGCCACCGCGGGAGCGGCCGCCGCGGCCTCGCGCGTCCTGTTCTGTGTCTGCCTGTTTTTCTCTGTCGGTCAGGCTTCTTGGAGGGTCTGTTTCGTTGGTCTTTTTAAAGAGTCACTTCTTGGCTTTGTCGGTTCTCTTCACTGATTGCTGTTTTTAATCTAGTTTTCTATTTCCCTTAACTTTATTTTTTTCATCTTTTGAGTTGCTTGTCCACTATTTTCCTGATTAGTAATGTGATTATTCAGGTTAATAATTACTGTTGCCCGTAACTTTGGCCACACGCCCTAAGCTTTGCCCTCATTTTTGAACAGGTGCAGCCGAAGTCGATTCCTCCTTTGCTCTTAGAGTTGCGGAGAGAGTTTCATCCGATTTCATTGCATTGCGCTCAGATGATATAGACCATCTAGTACCCATTTTGGGGATTCCTGGAGTTAAAAAATGCCTTTTTGTTAACGTCAGGCTACATTTGTTGTGGGCGCTGGTCCCTGCCCGTGGGCGTTGCGTCTGCGTCGCCGTGTGGCGGCCGCAGCCGCGTCCTCGGAGTCCCGCTCTCTACGCGTTTAACCACCAGCTCTGCCCAAGCTGCAGAAACTCTGGGCGTCTGGTCTGCGGGGCTTCGCTTCCCTGGTGTCTCGTGGTGTTTGCTGCTTGTGCTTGGGTGCTGGCTGAGCTCGCGAAAGCTCCCGCTTGTTGATTTTGTTCGTTGTCAAAACAGAGGGTTTATTGAACGAAAAGCCCGTTGGTTTCACCGGGGGCAGCTTTAACCTTGCACCTGCAGGGGCTGCGGGCGTTCTCTGGGGCTCACCTTGGTTGTCTGCCTGCCCGGGCTCTTTGTTTCTAAGGCAGTGAATAGCCTCTGTTAGGCCTGTTTCTTAACTGCTCCTTTGTTTTGTGTCTTTGGTCCGTGACCTGTGCTTCACTTGCTCCCTCTGTCCTGGTGTTTTCATGGTCTGTGGTCTCATTTTCATTGTACTGGTGGTTACCTTTGTTCTTATTTGAGCCAGATTGCACTTTCATTTTCCGTGTCTCCAGTGACTTCCTTCCACCAGAGATGCCCCTTTCCCTCCCTCCCTCCCTCCCTCTGAGGGCGGCCGAGTGGGTGTGGGAAGCCGGCTGCCAGTGTCCACGGGCCGGGCGGGGTTCCACTGTGACAGGGGCAGCGGGTGGTTCCAGGAGCAGGGACAGGGCATCCCCCTCGCCCGGCACAGAACATGGTTTTGAAATCAGGAACCGAAAATGTGTTTATTCCATCAAAAGGCCTTATGTACTAAGTGGCATTGAGATTGGCGTTTGGGAAGGAAAGTGGGGTATTGTGGCTGCTCCGTCAGCGGGTGACAGGCTGTGCAGCCCTTTCGCCTTCCATTTGAGGGTTTCTGGCCTGATAATCTAGGCCCCACACCTTTGCATCTCGGAGAACGTAAGTCATTGACTTGAAAGTGTTTTGAGTAGGATCCATCAGTAAATTTCATCAGAGATCCCTCCGGGCCCGCCAGCCGTCCCGACGCACAGCTGCTTTGACCTAAGTGCGGGCCTGGCTCCCAGAGGTGCCCGCGGGGCTCTGTGGGGAAAGGTCATGAAGGCACCTGGTTCCTCCCTGGAGCCCGGGCGCGGCTCTCACAGCGAGTCGAGCACACGTGCCTCCCCCGTGGGAGTTCGATGTCCTGAGTGATGGGTCATTGGCTTGGGAAACGGGAGTGAGGTGGTTGGCCCCTGATGGACAGTGATCGGGACACGCCTGCTGCCCGCCGTTTCCCGGGCGGGGCTCTCCCGGTGGGCGGGTGGAGTGTCCTGCCAGGGGCCTCGTCCCGCACTGAACGCCCCCTGGGCGCAGGCTTGGTTTCCCTGCCTGCAGCAGGTACGCTGATTTATGGGGCTGTCCCGGCGCTTCCCTGCCAGGGATATTAAAAGCAGTAGGGAATTTTGGAAAATATTCAGGATTAAAATTAACTGGCTCTCATCCAGTATGTTTTTATGAGGGGATGCCGGGCTGTCTTTCCCACAGCTCAGCTAATACCACATTGTCATAGTGCCCAAAATTACAAACACTTTGGGAAACAAGCTCCTCGAATGAGGGAAATAATAACCAGCGCTTGAAGCCTCCCTCCCCTTCCCTTGGTCGATTGTGTGAAATGGAAGTTTCTGCGTTTGTTGC